TTTTTCAATGTATTATAATTTTCCTTGTATAGGTCTTTCACTTCTTTCGTGAGAGTAATTCCTAAATATTTCATTTTTTTGGTTGCTCGTGTGAAGGGTGTGGCTTCTCTTATTTCTCTCTCTGTGATTTTGTTGTTATATAAGAATGCTATTGATTTTTGAGTATTGATTTTGTATCCAGCCACATTGGTGAATTTATTTATTATATCTAGGAGTCTTTCAATGGAGTTTTGGGGGTCTTCTATGTAGAGTACCATATCATCTGCAAATAGTGATAATTTAACTTCTTATTTTCCTATCTTCACACCTTTTATTTTCTTTCATGTCTAATTGCTCTGGCTAGTATTTCCTATATTAAATAGGAGCAGTGACAGGGGACATCCTTGTCTTGTGCCTGATTTTAAAGTAAAGGCCTTCAATTTTTGGCCATTTATTATGATACTGGCTGTTGGTTTGTCATAGATGGTCTTTATTATGTTGAGGTAAAGAACATCTATTCCAATTTTCTGTAAGTTTCTTATCATAAATGAATGTTGTACCTTACCAAAAGCTTTGTCTGCATCTATAGAAATGATCATGTGATTCTTACTTTTGACTCTATTGATATGGTGGATTACATTTATTGATTTACGCATATTGAACCATCCCTGCATACCTGGAATGAATCTCACTTGGTCATGGTGTATAATCTTCTTGATGACTTGCTGCATCCTATTTGCCAATATCTTATTGAGGATCTTTGCATCTGTGTTCATTAGGGAGATTGGTCTGTAGTTCTCTTTTTCAGTTGGGCCTTTCTCAGGTTTTGGTACTAGAGTAATATTTGCTTCCAGGAATGACTTAGGAAGGATTGCTTCCTTTTCAATTTCATTGAAGAGTTTGAGGAGTGTCGGCATTAGGTCCTCTTTGTATTTCTTGTAGAATTCTGCAGTGAATCCATCTGGGCCTGGGCTCTTCTTTGTAGGTAATGACTTAATTACATTTTCAATTTCATGTATAGAAATTGGGTTATTCAGCAGTTTTACTTCTTCTTGACCTAGCTTTCGTACTTCATATGCTTCTAGAAATCTGTCTATTTTTTCTGTGTTATCTAACCTTTGAGAGTAGAGGTTTTTGATATAGGTGTTGATGATCTTCTGTATTTCTATTGGGTCTGTAGTGATTTCACCGTTTTCTCTCCTTATTGCATGAATTTGAGCTTTTTCTTCCCTTCTTTAATAAGGTTGGCTAGGGGCTTATCAATTTTATTTATTCTTCCAAAGAACCAACTCTTTGCTTCAATGATTCTTTGTATTGTTTTCTTAGTCTCTATTGCATTGATTTCTGCTCCAATTTTTATAATTTCCTCACTTCTTTTGGCTTTGGGCTTGACTTGCGCTTCTTTTTCTAGCTGTTTGAGTTGTAGCATCAAGTTATTTATTTGTATTTGTTCTGTTTTCCTGATGTGGGAACTCAGTGCAATAAATTTCCCTCTGAGGACAGCTTTCATTGCATCCCACAGATTCTGCTAAGTTGTATTTGTGTTTTCATTTGTTTGTAGGTATTGTTTAACTTCCTCTTTAAATTCCTCTGTGACCCACTGATTACTCAAGAGTGTGTTATTCAGTGTCCATGTGTTTATTGGATTTTTGCAGTATCTTTTCTCATTAATTACTAATTTCATAGGGCTATGATCTGATAACATGCAGGGGATGATTTCTACTCTTTTGCATATCTTTAAATATGTTTTATGAGTTAATATATTGTCTATTTTAGAGAAGATCCCATGTACTGCTGAGAAAAATGTGTATTCTGTTGTTGTTGGGTGGAATACTCTGTATATGTCTATCAATTCCATTTGTTCACAGGTTTGATTCAGTTCTTTTATCTGTTTGCTGATTTTCTGTCTTGTCGATCTGTCCATTGGTGTCAATGGTGTGTTAAAATCTCCTGTTATAATGGTATTACTGCTAATTTGGTTTTTCATTTCTGATATTACTTGTTTTATATAACTTGGTGCTTTGGAATTTGGTGCATATATATTTAAGATAGTTATCTCTTCCTCTTGAAGTTTTCCCATAACCAGTATGTAGTGACCTACTTTGTCTCTTCTGATCTTTTAGGTTTGAAGTTCACATTGTCTGCAAACAGAATAGCTACCCCCGCTTTTTTGGGGGGTTCCTGTTGCATGAAGTATTGTTTTCCATCCTTTGACTTTCGGTCTGTGTGTATCCTTTTGGGTTAGATGGGTTTCTTGTAGACAACATATGGTTGGATTTTGTTTCTTGATCCATTCTGCCAGTCTATTTCTTTTAATTAGTTCATTGAGACCATTTACGTTAATGGTTATAAGCGTTATATATTGGTTTATTAGTGACCTGTTATATTTCTGCTGTTGCATCTTTATTTTTCTGTTCTATTTAATTGTCTGCTTTATTAAGTGGTTTTTTATTAGGTGTATTTAGACTGTCTTTGAATATTCTTTGCAGGATTGGCTTGGTGATCATGAATTTCTTCAGCTGTTCTTTGTCGTGGAAGTATCTTATTTCTCCATCAATTTTGAAAGACAGTTTTGCATCAGTCTAGGTTGGAAATCATTTTCCTTTAGGGTCTGAAATACTTCACTCCATGCTCTTCTTGACTTTATTGTTTGTGTTGAGAAGTCTGCTGTGATTCTGATAGGTTTTCTTTTATAGGTGATCTGTCTTTTCTCTCTGGCAGCTTTTAATAGTCTATTCTTTTGTTTGATTTCTGGAATGGTGACTATTATATGTCTGGGTGTAGTTTTATTTTGGTTATGGCTATTTGGAGTCCTATATGCCTCATTGATCCTGATATCAGTTTCCAGTTTCATGTTTGGGATGTTTTCAGCAATTACTTGTCTAAATATCCTATTGACATCCTTTGTATGTCTCCTTCTTTTTCATTTATCCCTATCAACCTTATGTGTCTCCTTCTTTTTCATTTATCCCTATCAACTTTATGTTGGTTTTGTTTGCATCATCTTGCAGGTGTTATTGTATTGTTATTTCTTGATTTCTTGTTATTTTTAAAAGATCTTTCCTTTCCTGTTCACTGGCTGCAATCTTGTGTTTGAGGTCCGAAATTCTATCTTTGCATTCATTCAGGTGGTTTTTACAACTTTCAATGTTGCTTTTGATTTCCTGTACATTTCTTTGCATCTGTTTTATATATTCTGTTTGTTTCTTATATTGTTCATTCAGAGATTTTATCCTTTCGTTTAGTTCTTCCAATTTTTTAGCTGTGTCTTCTTTAGATATGTGCAGCATCTCCTTCATTTCTTTTATTATTTCTTCTTTTACCTCATATATTATTTCTAGTTTGAATTCCTTCAAAGCTTCCCGGAGCTGCTTCTTTATTTCTGTTACTATTGTTTCAGGTATTTCAGGTATATGGCATGTATTTTCTTCTATGTACATGGCTCCTAGGCTTTCTTGGGATGGGTTGGAGGTTTGAGATTGTATTTTGGTCTTTTGTTTTGTCATTTTCCTATATTATAGTGTTTCAAGCTTTGTTTCAGAGTTTCCCCTGGTTGTGTTGTAAATTGACTCTTATATCCTGGGCTCCTGGGACTCCTCTTGTAGTAGCTCCCTCATTGGGCAGCGGAGCCCCTGGATTAAAAGAGGCTTGCCAGGCTCTGCTCACGTAGACCTAAAGCTTCCTCAATTTGCACAGTTTCAGGACCATACCAGAGTCACCTCTGCTCAGCTGGATGCTCACCTTCTGGTCTCCAGAGGTGGTAATATGGGCCCCAGGCAGGAGAGGTGGCAGCAGGGCCATCCTCCCCTCAGCTGGATGCGCACATTCCAGTCCCCAACAGTGGTAGTATGGGCACCGGGCAGGAGAGGGGGCAGCAGGGCCGGCCTCCAATCAGCTGGATGCGCATCTTCTGATCCCCAGCGGTGGTAGTTGGGTCCTGGGCAGGAGAGGTGGCAGCAGGGCCGGCCTCCGCTCCTCTCTCTGTGAATTTTCTTAATGAATATGTATTATAATTACAGTCAAAAAGAAAATTTTACCTTCTAATTATTTACTACTGGGAAAGTTCAGTTAAAAACAAGCTCAGCTTTGATAAATGTTGATGGTCCTCTATTGAAAAGGAAGATACACCAGAATGTTTTCTTCTCAAGTGTAATACTCCTCATAGAAAAACATGTAAAACATGAACAGGAAGCTTAAATCACCAAATCATATTGTTCAGACCTACAGTTGGCCCTTGAGCAACAGGGTTGCAGTGGATTCAGGCAGGCAGGCTTCAAACAGGAACACTATGGCAGAAGGATTTCAGAAGGCAACTCTCAATTCCTATAGAATGGGAAGAAGAGAAAAGAAAAAGAGCCCTCAAAACAAGGGATCACCATTCTGATATACAACCCAAGACAACTCCATATTTAGTTCAGGTGGTTCTCCTGGGATCCACAAGCACAACCAAAGCAAAGGGAGTAACCTATGTCAAGACATAGATTGAATTGCAAGGACCCACAGCAATTTGCTAATTTAGACCAAAAATGCCAAGTGCAGACATTTTTTAAGAAATATTGAGAAGAGAGTCCTACTCCATCACACTGAATATTTGTAATTAAATAAGAGATGTTTAGGATTCCCTGAGAAGGAGGCTATGATGATGTCAGAGTCACCAGATAGATTGAGTGGATGATGGCCATGCTTTTTTATTCCTAAGTACATTGCTCCACTGTGGCCTTCCTGAAATTGGGTTACACATTTTTGTCTGTTTCATCAGATGGTCAGCTCACTCTCCAGCATGCTTGCTCCTAGCAGAAGAGATGGTCCTAATACTCAAATGGTTCTAAAACTACCCAGATGAACCCTGGCATTGATAATTCTGTCACTGGTAACCCATGTTTCTGAGAATGTCCTGGCCAATACCACATCCTGAAGACCCACCTTGCACACCTGGGTTTCTGGTGAGGATAGGAACACATGATTTGATCTGACTCATCAGCTGTGGTCATTATACGGGTCTCACACACTTAAAAGGTGTCATGATGAGAAGAGGTGGTGGCAACAGTGTGTTGTTTTAGAAAGCTTCTCAGGGTAAAGCACCACAAAGCCAGTGACAAACATGAGGTCACTGAGCCAACTCCTCTATTTCCTCTGCTGGGGGCTAAAAGACAACATGGAAAAATATTCAGAAGCTCTGACTTGGAAACGCTTCTTGCTTCTTGGGAAGATGCAGCTGCTCCTGCTCCTGTTGGTCTTCCTTCTGCTCCCCAGAGCAGAGGCAGGTGAGTGACCGTCTTTACCCTCCAGAGTCAGAGCATATGACTCTCCTGTCCCTATGCAACAAACCCAGAGCCTTCTGTCTGCAAGCATTGCTCTGAACCTGAACTCCATTCCCAGCGGAGTGAATCAGGTAGGACACTGCATAAGCTACCAGAGTTTGTTTTCAACAAGAGCCAGTGGATAATGTTCCCTAAGTAAGACTCAGCTTGTGCATCTATAGGGTCTTTCTTCAAAGTTCATGCAAGTGAGAAGTAAAAAAGAAGAAAATATCCAGCACTCCCAAAGAAGGCAGAATAGGCCAGTCATCCCGGTCCGGGGAGGGGAAAGGCTTTGCTTTGATCACCTGCCTAGTAGAGATGCCCAGAGCTCAGTGACCCCAGAATGGATGGAATCTCTGTCCTCAGAACACTGTTTTTGCCTCTCCTCACTCCTACTAACTTTCTCCAGCTCTGCTTTCCTCCTCTGGACTTCAGTGGCTCCTCTGTTTTCCAGGGGGAGCCACAGAGGCAGACTCACACATCTCTGCTTTCCAGTATTCCATCTGCACTGCTCTACTAACCAGACACTAACTGCAGCTGTTCCTTCATACTGCTAGGGAACAGATCTGAGACACCCTCTACATGTCAGGCCTTAGGAAACAGGATAAAACCACATGTACAGTACACCTAGAGGGCTGCCAGGTGGAAGCATCACCATCTTAGACATCACAGGACTCAGAAGGGTTTTATTTACTCAAGGGAAGTAAAAAGTAAGCAGAGGAATGATGAAAAGCCTCAGAGGTTTTATTTTCCCCTGATACATATAGTCATCTCCAATCAAACAGAGGAAAAGGATTTGTAGAGCAAGACTCAATTTCCTGCTATTTGGAAAACAAGTTCAAGCATCTTCCTCTAGGTTCCTGTCCACTTCAAGAAACTGCAGGCTCCCAAATGCCCAACTGTTCAGAGACATAAGTAGATCCTTGTTTAAGGACTCATTGGCTGCACCCTGTCTCCTTGTTGTTTTCAGGAGAGATCATTGGGGGACATGAAGCCAAACCCCACTCCCGCACCTACATGGCTTACCTTAAGATCAGGCTTGAGAAATCTAGAAAAATTTGTGATGGCTTTCTGATTCAAGAGGACTTTGTGGTGACAGCTGCTCACTGTTTACAGGGGTGAGAAAGGAAAAAGAGTCCACAATCTACAAGAAACACTTCTCAGAGTACTGGCAAAGAAATAGACCTGAGATTCAATAGAATAGATTTGAAGATGCAAACACAACTACCAAAACACTCAGCCATTTGATGTTTGACCAAGGTGCTAATCATGCTCACTGAAAGGAAAGCCTCTTTAATGAATGTCGTTGAAATAATTGGCTCTCCACATGCCAAAGACTGAAACTAGACACATGCCTGTCACCATGGACAAAACTAAAATCAAACTGGATAAACTATCTAAATATTAAAATGTAAATAAGAAATCTACTGGAAGACAAGGTAGGTAGAAGTTTTGCAGACATAGGGCTAAGCAGATAATTCATGAACAAAATAAAATCTTTATAGGAAACACTTCAAAATTCAACAACTGGGATCTCATATTATTGAAAATTTTCTGCACTTCAGAAGAAATCACCAACAGGGTGAAAAGGAAATCCAGAGAATTGGGAAGAATTTTAGCCAGCAACTCCTCAGACAAAGGACTTATATCCAGAACATATAAAGAATTATATTAAGGCCCTAAAATCAAACCCCCTCTAAAAATGGGCTTCTGAGATGAACACACAGTTCTGAGATGAAGATACAGAAATGGCACATAAATACATGCAGAAATGTTCACTATCACTGGTCATTCAAGACATACACATTAAAACAGCACTGAGATTTCATCTCACTCCAGAAGGAATAGCTGCCATCCACAAAGCAACTGATAACAAATGTTGGCTAAGATGTAGGGAAAACTGAACATTGCTCTCCTGTTTGTGGGTGTGTACACTGGTGTAGTCACTATGGAAATCAGTATGGAGATTTCTCAGAAGACTGGAATTGGAAGTTCCATTCAATCCAGCTACTCCCCGCCTGGGTATTTTCCCAGAAAAAATGAAAAGTTCATAGCACAGTGATTTATGTGCCCCATTTTTCATAGCAGCACAATGATCTCGAGACATTCATAGGTAAATGGAGACAACTTGACTCTATCCTTATAAGTGAAATAAATAAAAATCATATTTATAAAAATCACATTGTGTCTCTAGTGTGAAATGTATTAAAAAATGTAGGAGTAATAAAACCCCAAATGTGTAATTGCTACTGTAAAGCAGACAGGAAAAGAAAATGCTCTAAAGGATATAACTGCAGGTATGTTTAAGTGTGTAGGATTGATAACCATATTACTAAGTTTTTCTTGGATCATTGAGCAGAACTGTTTGAAGTCTGAGTGTTTGAATGTCTACTCTGTACAGTTTAATTTTGTAACTTAAACAACTATTTCTACGGCAACAAACTGTAATTTATTAACTAGTGTTTATTGTTTAGGGTTTTTTTTCGGTCAAATTCTGTATTATTTTTACCCTTTTATCTGTTCTTTTATTTTCTTTTCAAATAAAATTTTAAATAAATAAATAAATAACTTTAGTAGTAAAGAAAAGCTCACTGCGGAGTTCTACAAAAAATTGAAAGAAGACTTAATGCCGACATTCCTCAAACTCTTCAATGAACTTGGAAGGGAAGCTATTCTCCCTAACTCATTCATGAATGTGAGTATTTCTCTAAAACCAAAACCACAGAAAGACCCAAAAAAGAGAACTACAGGTCAACCTCCCTAATGAACACACATGCAAAAATTTCTCAATAAAATACTGAGAAACAGAATTAAGCAAATCATCAAGAAGATTATGCACCATTACCAAGTGGGATTCATCCCAGGAATGCATCAATGATTCAACAAACACAAATCAATACATGTAATCCACCAATTCTATAGACCCAAAAATAAGAATCACATGATCATTTCTATAGATACAGAAAAAGATTTTGATTAGGTCCAACACTCAATCATGATAAGAAACTTACAGAAAATTAGAATAGATGGTATTTATCTCAATCTGATAAAAGCCATCTATGATAATACAACAGCTAGCATCACATTCAAAGTCCAAAAACTGAAAACCTTTACTCTAAAATCAGGAACCAGACAAGGATATCCATGCTCACCACTCTTATTCAGTATAGGGCTAGATATACTAGCCTGAGCAATTAGAAAAGAGAGAGAAATAAAAGAAATAAGGATGGGAAAAGAAAATCAATTATCATTATTTGCACATGACATGATACTCTATATAGAAGACCTCCAAAACTCCATTGAAAGACTCCTGGTTATAATAATTAAATTCAGTCATGTTGCTGGATACAAAGTCAATACACAAAACTCAATAGCTTTCCTATACGCAAACAACAAACTCATTGAAACAGAAATAAGAGAAGCAACGCCTTTCACAATGGCATCTAAAAATAAAATACTTAGGAATCAATCTAACAAAAGAAGCAAAAGAGCTATCTGTTTAGGGAAGATTATGATTATCCCCCCAAAAAAGAAATTGAAGTGGATCTCTGGAAATGCAAAAAGAATTTCTTGTTCATGTATAGGAAGAATAAACATTGTGAAAATGGGCATTCTCACAAAATATCGCTAGGTACCTCAAAGATCTAGAGCATCCTTTCCTGAAATTCATCTGAATCCTGAATAGACTTAGAGTAGCAAAGAAAATTCTCAGCAACACAGGCAAGGCTGGCAGCATCACAATTCCTGACTTGGAGTAATACACAAAGCCACTGCAATAAAATCAGCATGGTACTGAAATAACAATAGACTTGAACATCAACAGAATAGATTAGAAGATACAACTACAACTCCCAACACACTCAGCCACGCTATCCTTGACAAAGGAGCCAAACACATTCACTGGAAGAAAGATAGTCTTTCTAAGAAGTGCTGCTGGAAAAACTGGCTCTTCACATGCTGAAAAATAAAGGTAGACACATGCCTATTACCATGTACTAAAGTCAAAATGGAAAACATATCTAAAGCCCCCATTAAAACAAAAAATGAAACTTAATTTTCTGGAAGACAAAGTGGGTAGAAATCTTGAAGAGTTAAGTTGTACAGTAAATAGAGATTTCATGAACAACATTCAAACTGCACGGGATGCTTCCCAGAATCAATAACTGGATTCTTGTCTTATTAAAAATTTTTTGCATGTTGAAAGACATCTTCAGAAGAGTAAAGAGGAAACCCATGAGTTTTGAAAAAATCTTAGTCAACTGTCTCTCAAAGAACATAAGTCCAGGACATACAAAGAATTTTAAAATTTCCATCCCCTGATACTCAAATACCCAGTCGAAAAATGGGCCTCTGAGATGAATACACAGTTGTCTGGTAAAGAAATACAAATGGCAAGTAAATACATGAAAAAATGTTCATCATCATTGTTCATTAGACAAATGCACATTCAAAGCTCATTGAGGTTGCATATCACTCCAGAAACAATGGCCAGGATCAAGAAAACCACAAACCACAAATCCTAGAGAGTGTGTGGGTAAAAAGGAATCCTCCTGCACTGTTTGTGCAGGAGAGTGGTACACCCACTATGTGGTTCAGTCTAGAGGTTACCCTAAAAGCCGGGGTTAGAAGTCCCATTTTACCCAAATATTCCACTTCTAGGCACATTTCCAGAAGAAGTGAAACGATCAGGTTGCACTGATATGTATGCACTCATGTTTATAGCAGCACAATCTGTTTTAGCCAGATCTTGGAAACAACCTAAATGCCCATCAACTGAGGAATGGATAAAAAAGATGTGGTACTTTTATACAAGGAGTACTACTCAGCTATGAAGAGTGATCACATTGAGATATTTATAGGTAAACGTATGCAATTTGAAACAATACTCACATGAAACAAATAAAACTCACGTGTAAATACTGTACTGTCTCCCTAGTGTAAGAGATGATTAGAGTATAAAAGATACAAAATCCTCACTAAATACAGTGATAGGGAAAGTATCTGCTCAAAGGAGAAAAAAGAGTATCTCAGAGAAAACGAGGGAAAAGAAATAGGAAGGGAAAATAAATATATCTAAATTTGTATAAACACACAGGATAGCTAAGATGATTGTAATAAAAACTCTAACAGTTCTTGGAACAAAACAGTTAACATTAATAGGAATGGAACAATTTGGCATGTTTGGGTCTGGTGATCTGAGGAACTCTTGTGAAGATCACGATACAAAGTAACAACCCTGATTATGCTCCTGTCACCTTGATTTGCAGGCCTCTATCGTCATTGTTTTGGGCACTTAGCTATCGTCATTTAATTGCATTTTTGTTTCTTGTTTTTCTAGTAATTTGTTTTGTTTTTCCTGATAATACAGAAAGGATAGGTGTACATGTAGAGGCTTATCAATGTCTAGAATTTCTCCTAAACAGTTTAAGAGAATCAGTTATATTACGCATGATAGCATGAACAGATACTTTCAAGAAAAAGAGACATTATGCTATCCACTGCTGACACCATATCATCATGCTGTGAAATCCAGTAATGTTTTTATTCTTTGTTCAGAATAGTTTTAGTCTGTTTTCTATTATTGAATTTCAACAGACATGAAGGAATGGACAGCTCCATTTTGAAGAGAACAAGAGACATTATGGCAGTTATTGCTGATTTTCTTTTGTCTGGTTTTGAAGGCCTGTAATGCCTAGATTACTCTATTTCTATCTGTTTTATACTACATTATTTTGTATGAATTCATTGTATTTGAAGATCTGAACAACAATTTAGAAGAAAACAAGAGATATGCTAGCCACGGAAGATCTCCTATTGTCTTGCATTATAATCTATGTCATTTACATTGTTTTCATGTCATCTGCTTTGTTCTGTTTTGTTATGTTTTCTATTTTCCATTTTAAAAGAAAAGAACAATAATAGTAATGATAATAAATTGTGGTGTATACGTACAATTGTATATTATTTGGCCATTAAGCGAATCAAATCAGGTTTTTGCAAAAATGATGAAACTGAAGGTGATCAAGTTAAATGAAAGTATACGTTTCAGAAAGACAAATATTGTATGTTTTCCCTAATATTTGGAATGTAAAACATGACATGAAAGGAGTAGGTAGACTATTATTTGACCACAGACAAGAAATAAAGAGGAGCAAGAGAAAGTTGTAATCAAGGCACTATTTTGAATGGAAAAAGTTATTAAGTGTGTCATTAAGTTAGTATGATGCTGACATGAATTTATTGAGGTAACAATGTGTCCAGTACACTTCATTAGGTGAAAAATCAGGGTACAAAATCCTATACAGGAACATGATAAATTGTTTTATTTTCAAAAATGCATTAATATTAGAAATATGAAATCTTTGAGAATGGTATTCACTAACTGTTTAATGACTCTGAGAATGAGATGCTGAACACATATTCTTTTTTATTAAAAGTATTTCTGACTTGTGCTATTATAAAACATTTTAAGCAGAAGGAGTCAAAATCATACTATCTGTTACTTTTCCACCTATATTGGTATTCTGTGTGTATTTGTATTTTCATTCTCCTTTTAACTTTTGCAATGTATTAAACAGAACATGTGTTTATATTTTGCATTTATCCCCACTCCGATTATCTTGGACTTTCACTGATTTATGAATTATTCTGAATTATGATTTATATAGTTATCGATATGATTATTTTTACATGCACTCTTACTTTATTTATATCAACTGTTCTACAAATCTTGACTGGCTTGTTTGCTTGTTCCTTTGGGCTTATGTTTGTTTTAAAGAGCCTTTTTAATATTACAGCAAACTCTTCAATTTTTAACAGCAATTTTAGGTTTATAGAAAACTGGATAGATAAATACAGAGATTTCCCCCAAGTCCCTGTTTCCACACATGTGCAGTGTCCCACATTACGAACATTTTCCACTGGTGCAACATTTGTGACAACTGACAGTAATACAGTACAGTAATTCTACTATTGGGAGAACATCCTGCAAACCAAAATGAAAGTGCGGGCACAGGAACACACACACACACACAACACTACACACAGCATACACTGAGCTCTCAGCATAAAGATTATACTTTCATTACTGCTTAATATTATCAGAAATTAGAAATAGTGTGAATAATAACAAATTTGTTAGATGGAGCCACGATGTATCCACATAATATAGTATTATAAACATGTGGCATGATTCTTAGGAGCCGTAGGGAAAATGAGGCTAAGAACACTAAGCAGTTATTTCCTTCTTCACTCTCCCAAAAGAATATCACCAATTATAAAGAAAATAATTTAACTTCATAGGCTGGCAATGATTTATCTAAAACCAAGTACTTTAAACAGCCTGCATGTGGATAAACCTCTGTCCAAACTTATCAGATAGCATTGAGAAATACATACGGTAAGTGCAAATTGAAAGGACACAATAAGATAGCAAACCTATTTCACTTGCATATCCTCAGAATACTGAGACAAATATATAAATGATATTCCTGAGAGCATTGTATGCACTAGGCGAAACTGAGTAATCCGCCAGGTCACAAAAGGGAAATCACTGAAGTAAATGTGTTCAAAAGCTACCTGTAAGGGACAAAAGGAAAGCAGTCACCTGAAATGATGATAGAAGTTACTACAACATGATAGCCGTTTATGATTAATCAAGAAAACAGCTTACAAACTCTTGTGTGAAACAGGACCTCCTTTATTTTTTTCTGTCTCCTCTGCAATGAGGAGAAATAAAAGCCCAGGCAGGGTGCACATGATTTCACCTGGTCGGGGCAGCCAGGAATCCTGGAGAGCTAGGAAGCTGACACACTGCTTATTTCCCCCATGCCCAACTGTCTCATGCGTCCATGGTCTTTCCTAACCCAGTATGAAAATTTGGACCATTTACACCAAACATTTTTTTACTTTTTGGTCTGCAGTATGTAAAGAGAAATGGTCGTGTGTTACACTTTAAAACTACAATATAGCTAATGTATATGAGTATCCAAACATTTATATTTTTCTTTTCACTGTTTCAAGGGGGAAAATGCAAACATAAATGTAATGGCATCTTTGACCTGATTCGTGAAACTAATACATCCATAAATGGTTCACTGAAAGAGGTTACAATTTTTAGTGAGTTTTCAAGGTCCTTATCAAAAAATTTTGACATTTTTATGCTATGTGTTCTTCATCCTTGTAAATAGCAGTTGATGAATGCACTGTGTGTGGTGAGCACGGAGGGTAGAGTTAACACAGTTTTGTGCCCAGGCCAACAGAGTTCCACTGTCACCCCATCTGTGCAAGGGCACTGTACAGTCAAATCGTAAAAAATAGTGCTGAAAATCACAGGAAATTGCTAAACGTGTGTGATCTTGTGGGGCTGCTTTTGGGAGACATTTACATCCTTCAGGCAATGTGTGGAACACACCTGCTTTACAAGATCTCTCGGCCTAGTACTTCACTTTCAAATGACCTTGACGTGACTCAGTGTCTCTATTTATTAGCATGTCTTTGTCTAATGGGATTTTCCAATGGACTAACAGGGACTTTTATCCAGGTAGGTCTTCTTCCTGTCTCAACTTGACTGAGAGTGGTTCTAAGAAGTCAGTATTTGCTGGTCCCAGGATAGTCGTAGAGAAAAATCAGGCAAGATCTCTCCACAGAGCTCTCAGTTCCATTTCGTGGCTATGCAAACAACACTCTCATACCTGTTCCAACAACCCTCATGAGCTCAGGATGCACTGAGAAAGGAACTAATTCAATAGCTTCAGCCATGCTTCACCAATGCCAACATAGCCTTTGCTCCAAGACCATACGTGCCTCCCCAGGTTGTAGCTACCTTTAGAATAGCTACAAGATTTTTCTTCAGAAGGACGATAGCACCCATTTGTTATTCATCAGCAAACAGATGTAAATCAGGTGCCAGGTGCTGGAGTTTCAAAAGCAAGCTTGGTGGGAGACCTTCAACCTTCACAAACTTCAGCCATCTGACCTTGTACCAATGCCTTGTTCCTTCACCCAGGTTAATTAGGTTAGCCTGAATCTGTCTGAGAAATCCACATAAATGAAAAATTTTTAGGATAACAGCATTTCTGTTTCTTACACTAAAAAAGTTCATGAGCATTGACACATTTTAAGTTAGTACAGCAAATAGGGAATTAGAAAGACGGGGTAGATCTTCTGGTCTGAAGGTTTCCAAATGTGTACGCACTGTGAGATGCAGGCATACAGGGAGAAAAACCAAGAAAAGAGCAGTCACATTTTATGGTTTACCTCAAAGTGTAGTGTAAACTCAAACATGGATGTCACACCAAAGTAAACTTCTACTCAGCCCAGTTATCTCCCTTCTAAAGATAGCAGTTTCCCTGTCTTCCTGAAAAAGTGAGAAACTTTATTAGAGTAATATACTCATATCCATGTTCATAGTAGCACAACTCATAGCAGCTATAACTTAGAAGCACACTGTTTGTCTGTCCAGCAATAGATGCATTTTCAAAATGTGGCATTGTAAACAATGGAGTACTACTCTTCTATAAGCAGGATAAACATGAGTCATTGTGGAAAATGGCTGTACTTAGGACCACGATGTTAAGTAAAATAAACAATCAACACAATGTTAAATATCACACGATTTCTCTTTTATAAGAAACCTAAAGTATAAATAAATTAAAGAGCCAAATAAAAGATACATAACATGAAACAGTGATATATTTTTTTTCAGAGAAGAAGAGGACTAAGATTTGTAAGGAGGGGAAAGAGAGGAGACAAGAAGAGGACAAGAAGAAATAAGATGCATTACATACAAAATTCCCACAATAAGTATAATCATTATGTAACACAAATATATATATAATAAAATTTTCAGTTGTCTGGGGGAGATAGACAAATGCATGCTATTTTTTCTTCCAGCTCTCTGAATGCTATTAATGAATATGCATTATAATTACAGTCAGAAAGAAAATTTTGCCTTTTAATTATTTACTACTGGGAAAGTTCAGTTAAAAAAAAGCTCAGCTTTGATAAATGTTGATGGTCTTCTATTGAAAAGGAAGATACACCGGAATGTTTTCTTCTCCAGTGTAATACTCCTCATAGAAAAACATACAAAACATGAACAGGAAGCTTAAATCACCAAATCAAATTGTTCAGACCTACAGTTGGCCCTTGAGCAACAGGGATGCAGTGATTCAGGCAGGCAGTCTTCAAACAGGAACACTATGGCAGAAGCATTTCATGGAGCAAGGCAACTCTCAATTCCTATAGGATGGGAAGAAGAGAAAAGAAAAAGAGCCCTCAAAACAAGGGATCACAATTCTGATATACACCCCAAAACACCACCATATGTAGTTTAGGAGATTCTGCTGGGATCCACAACAGCACAAGCAAAGCAATGGGAGTAACCTATGTCAAGACATAGATTGAATTGCAAGGACCCACAGCAATTTGCTAATTTAGACCAAAAATGCCAAGTGCAGACATTTTTTAAAAAATATTGAGAAGAGAGTCCTACTCCATCACACTGAATATTTGTAATTAAAAAAGCGATGCTTAGGATTCCCTGGGAAGGAGGCTATGATGATGTCAGAGTCATCATATAGATTGATCAGATGCTGGCCAAGCTTTGTTATTCCTAAGTACATTGCTCCACTGTGGCCTTCCTGAAGTTTTGTTCCTGGGTTTCTGTCTCTTTCATCAGATGGTCAGCTCACTCTCCAGCATGCTTGCTCCTAGCACAAGAGATGGTCCTAATACTCAAATGGTTCTAAAACTACCCTGATGAAACCTGGCATTGATAATTCTGTTACTGGAAACCCATGTTTATGAGAATGTCCTGGCCAATACCACATGCTACAGACCCACCTTGCACACCTGGGTTTCTGGTGAGGACAGGAACACATGATTTGATCTGACTCATCAGCTGTGGTCATTATACGGGTCTCACACACTCAAAAGGTGTCATGATGAGAGGAGGCAATGGCCATAATGTGTTGTTTTAGAAAGCCTCTCAGGGTAAAGCACCACAAAACCAGTGACAAACATGAGGTCACTGAGCCATCTCCTCTATTTCCTCTGCTGGGGGCTAAAAGACAACATGGACAAATATTCAGAAGCTCTGACTTGGAAACGCTTCTTGCTTCTTGGGAAGATGCAGCTGCTCCTGCTCCTGTTGGCCTTCCTTCTGCTCCCCAGAGCAGAGGCAGGTGAGTGATCATCTCCACCCTCCAGATGCCCAATCTTATTGCACAGAGCATATGAATCTCCTGTCCCTATGCAACACCCCCAGAGCCTTCTGTTTGCCAGCATTGCTCTGAACCTGAACTCCAATCCCACCAGAGGGAATCAGGGAGGACACTGTATAAGCTACCAGAGTTTGTTTTCAAGAAGAGAGAGTGGGTAATGTACCCTCAGTAAGAGTCAGCTTGCACATCTAGAGAGGCTTTCTTCAAAGTTCATGCAGGTGAGAAGTAAAAAGAAGAAAATAGCAAGTACTCCTAAACAGGGCAGAATAGGCTCGTCATCCCGGTCAGGGGAGGGCAAAGTCTTTGCATTCATAACTGCCTAGCAGAGATGCCCAGAGCTCCCCACAATGGATGGAATCTCTGTCCTCGGATCACTGTTTATGCCTCTCCTCACTCCTACTAACTTTCCCCAGCTCTGCTTTCCTCCTCTGGATTTCAGGGGCTTCTCTGTATTTCAGTAGGAGCCACAGAGGCAGACTCACACTTCTCTGCTTTCCAGAATTCCATCTGCACTGCTCCACTAACCAGACAGTAACTGCAGCTGTTCCTTCATGCTGCCAGGGAACAGATCTGAGACACCCTCTACATGTCAGGCCCTTAAAAAGAGGTTAAGACCTCACCTACAGTACACCTAGAGCCTGCCAGGATGAAGCATCATCATCCTAGACATCACAGGACTCAGAAGGGTTTTATTTACTCAAGGGAAGTAAAAAGTTAGCAGAGGAATGATGAAAAGCTTCAGATGTTTTATTTTCCCCTGATACATACAGTCATCTCCAATCAAACAGAGGAAAAGGATTTGTAGAACAAGACTCAATTTCCTGCACATTGGAAAACAAGTTCAGGCATCTTCCTCTAGGTTCCTGTCCACTTCAAGGAACTGCAACCTCCCAAATGTCCAACTGTTAAGAGATTGTAAGATACTTGTTCAAGGACTCAGTGGCTGCACCCAGTCTTATTGTTGTTTTCAGGAGAGATCATCGGGGGACATGAAGCCAAACCCCACTCCCGCCCCTACATGGCTTACCTTAGGATCAGGCGTGAGAAATCTAGGAAAATTTGTGGTGGCTTCCTGATTCAAGAGGACTTTGTGCTGACAGCTGCTCACTGTTTAAAGGGGTGAGAAAAAAAAAAAGGTTCACAGTCTATAGGAAACCCTTCTCAGTGCCTTTTTTCTGGGGAGCTCGATGAGTTCATGGACATAACCATGAGGAGGACTGGTGAGAGTGAGAAAGGGTCATCATATCCCAAGGGCAGAGAAGCAAGTTGGCACCAAAGAATTCCTGATATAAGGAAAACCAGGGCAATCAAACCTGATTACATCTAGACCCAGGACAATACTTTGGCATAATCAAGCAAAGTAAAACAGTTTCATGTCCTTTCCTGGAGGCACTGACCACTGAGAAACTCTGGTGCTCAAGGTGCCCTCCCTTGGTACTAAGAAGGAGGGACAGTCATTCAGCCGGGTAGCACTCTGCCCTCTACAGCTATACCTGTTTCAGTTGTGGCCTGCTTTTACAGATCCTGGGTAGTGTCTTTTGTAGCTCTCCATCCACCAATCCACTTGCCTCTGTGTACAGCCAAATAAAGGTCACCTTGGGGGCCCACAACATCAAGGAACAAGAGGACACCCAGCAGGTCATCCGTGTACAAAAAGCGTTTCCCCACCAAGACTTTAATTGGGAAAAACGCATCAATGACATCATGCTGCTGAAGGTAAGGCACATGTCCTTGTGGCTCTTGCTCTCCTCAAAAAGGTTGCCACTCCCACTGGCACCCTGCCCCTGCCCTCTTTGCCATCATGTCCATCACACTGTGCATACCCAGGAGCCATGCACTGAACTGGACTTCCTTACTTATTTTTCGACCAGCTGCAGAAAAAGGCCAAGCTGACTAAAGCTGTGCAGCTCCTCAACCTGCCCAAGGAGATGACCCAGGTAAAGCCAGGTACCCGGTGCCAGGTGGCTGGATGGGGAAGATTGTCCCCAGATGGAAACCATTCAAGTACACTGCAGGAAGTGGAGATGGTAGTGCAGAATGACAAGAAGTGTGAGAAACACTTGAAAAAATATGATCCTGCTACTGAGATTTGTGTGGGAGACCCCAAGATTAACAATACTTCGTTTAAGGTAAGACGAGGCATCTGCCACAATTGGCTTTGTGGGAAAGAGTGTTTGGGACAGATCTAGTACCAGGAGACCCAAGGATCATGGATTCCTTAACCCTATAGGCTGGCTGTTATGTTTCTCCCAGAAAAGAGAAGAAGGGAGAAGCCTGAGCTGGGAGGTACTAAAGCCTAAAGCCGCTACCACTTTACTAAGGGGCCTCTGGAGAAGGAAACAACTACTCTCCTTATGAGGCCACCGTGATTTGATATTGTAACCTCTTCCAATCTCCCAATCCAGGACCCAAACCTGTCTCTCTTCACAAGTTAATGAAACCTTGGTTCAGAACTGGGTGGTGGCATTTATTCTGGGTGCAGCCACTGGAAGCTTCACTTTGTAACACATTGCCTGAGCTCATGCACAGGCATGAGAAAACTGTTTCCCTGGTGTGCAGGAATTATAACCTCCTCTGAGACAGCAGCCCTCTTGGTCAATGAGCTCATCATCTGTGCTCATTGTCAGACATGGTCATCAGCCTCCCTGGCCTGTAATGAATGGTCCTCACAACTCAACAGGGGTGAGGTCCAGACCTGGGGATGAAGACAAAGGCTGGCTCTAAGAGTGAAAATGCCCATAGTCAGAGCTCAGCAGGTAACAGCCTGTAGTTCTCTCTATCTCTCACAAGCAGACCTTACAATCATTACTGCATGAGGGGGTTTGGAATAATGGAAGTGAGGAGTTAAGTGGTGCACTGGTTCACAGACTCACTCTCTATTTACAGGGTGACTCCGGAGGCCCCCTGGTGTGTAATAATGTGGCACAAGGCATTGTCTCCTATGGACCAAAGAATGGAACAACACCGCGTATCTTCACCAAAGTCTCATGGTTTCTAAGCTGGATAAAAAAAACGATGAAACAGAGCTGCCTGCACACAGTAAAGTAAATCCCCTCTATGAGCAACCATCTTACCTGGAGCTGAGTCTAGAATCACTCTAGAGCAGATGCCAGCAACTAAATAAATGTTTCATCTCAGTGGAAGGCCAGTTTCTTGTTTGCTCTCTTACTTGGGTTCATGGGGACCAACTCTGTGGTAAGCAGGACAATGACACAGTTCTGATGATTTCTGCCTCCTCCACTCCTTCTCCACTCAATACTTTTCCAAATCCCCTCTCAAAACTGTTACCAAGCTCTGCCTTATACACTTTAGCTTCTCCACAGCCTCTCTTTTTTCAAGGGCTACAGTTAAGCACCAACTGAAGAAAAACTGGACATCTTTTTTTCTAGGGCTCCAGGGGAACATGTGACTTCTTTTATGTCACATGTAGAGGGGAAGGGGATGAATTCATGGGTCCTGGAGTTCATCCAGGCACCACTGAGGTCGCGACAGGACCCTATCAGGCTCAGTAGAGGGAGGATATTCCTGGCAGGACATTTCTCTCCCACAGCTTTCGGGATACACATGGAGTGCTGGTTAACCTGACTGACTCTTTACCTTCACCTGAAATTTGTTTCCTTCTCCATTCCGCTCTAAGACCAAGGCTAACCTTGGCTTACAGCCACCTGGCTGCCCAATTTTATCCCTCTGAGAGTTGTCACTGTCTACCAACTACTCTCCTTATGAGGCCACCGTGATTTGATATTGTAACCTCTTCCAATCTCCCAATCCAGGACCCAAACCTGTCTCTCTTCACAAGTTAATGAAACCTTGGTTCAGAACTGGGTGGTGGCATTTATTCTGCTTAGCTATTGTTCTGACTGGAACCAGGAATACCTTGGTTCCCCACAACTACAGATACTGGTTTAACTCTTTATTCATGGCATGAATTTCACTGGACTTGGTAGACTGAAATTTATTTATTAGAATTCCCATAACTTTTCCTGGATTTACCAATATAATCTCCTCCTTACTGTGACAATACTGGAACAGTTTCTGTAACAGTGTGTACAAAGTGCTAGGCCAGAGGCTGGGGATTAGTTCACCTGCCGAGGCACCTGCCAGGCAATCACAAGGTATTGAGCTCAGTCCTAGTTAAAAAAAAATAGTGCCAGGTCTTAGGTTCTATGATGAACATAATCATAGATCCCAGTGAAGCTGGTATGGTCACAGACTTTCCAAATTAACTCTCTCTCCATCCTCCAGATTGCCCAATGAAGCCTGTGTGGAAAACCTGTGAAATAAAACATCTTATTTATATTTCTGCTTACAGTTTCTATAAACATTATCACATGATACTTCAAAACTGTATGAGATTTAAAAATGACCTTAGTCACACACTTTTCAGATATGAAGTTGCTAAATGATTCAAAAGAGGGCGCATAGGTGATAACATAATGAAGCAGGCTTATTTTCATTTGTTTGAAAGGAAACAGATATAAATGTTATCATACAAAATCCAGTTACAGGAAACGCACATACCCAGTCAACCTGCTGGAAACCATAATACCTGTCAGTACTACAGTGCCCCCCTTTGAAGAATCAAACTTGAGTCTGGGAGGCCACCACAGAAAAAAAAGGGGAGATATCTGTAATATTTAAGTCATCATGGTTACTGATGCATCCATTATATCTAATATTATCCAAACTTCTCTTTGTTGAGAAGTTCATAGCTTAGAGAAAACAAAGTGCATGGCATTTTGTTGAACAAATGTCCTGTGGGTGCTTTGTTTACCTTGCTGAACAGTCCCTCCACCTTGGGCTGCAGGGTCAGGTCACTAATATCCACATTGCCTGGCAGAATTTGGCTCAATCTTAATGCCTCTATGTCTCAAATACACAAATTACTACATTCTTTTGTGGTACAGAGTTAAATCTCACTCTGAGATCATGTAATTCTCAAAGGCATGCCTTCTCCCATCTGTTTACAGAGCATGCTACATCACAGTCTCATAAATAATTGTCTTGTGTAGCTTTACAAGGAAAAATCAGCTTCTGACTTGAGCCTGAAAACCAAAATTCCTGCACCTAACACCTACTGAAGATCTGGCTCCTTCCTCAGGAAAAAAAAATAAAGAAAATAAATAAAGCAAAAAACAAAAAATAATATTTTAGTAAGTTTTCCAGTCATATACATGAATACTCCCGGGTTCGATTTACTTTGGGGAAATGGGTTTGTAGTTTAAAACTCCTTTGAAAAGTATTCCTGTAGATTGGTCCCAATCCTACTCTAAAAAAATAAAAAGAAAGAGATTCCCAGTAAAAGATAGTGAGGACCAAATGTAATGCAGAAGTTAGGAGAGAGCTTGGACTGAGACAGATTCCCTAACCATCAGCCTACCAGCAGCCCTGGTCTTGTAACTGCCAGTCCATATTTTAGCTCTATCGCCACAATCTTGAAATTTGCTGGTCTATTGGTCTTACTTCCTCAATAACAAGGCAGCTGTCATCTGCTTATGTGGGCCATGATGATAGGTAGATGATTGATCCTGATGTCTAAGGGAAGATAGGATTTGCTGAAATCACCCTTAGTGACAGTGAATGAAAGTCAATGGAAGATCATCACAGGGGTATGCTGACTGCATCAGGTTACCTTACTAGGACAGCTGAGTTGAGATCTACCAATTTGTGACTTTTATTATCTACAAGGAAAGGTAATGGAAATTTGCATTTTGACATAGAAGTGAACTGTTACCTCCATTCCACTTGACATACTATCTAAGGTTTCTCAACCTCTTTTATCTACACATGTAGTTAGTAGTAGGTATCTCCCACACTGGAGTTTTATATAACTTATCCACAGTAGCTGGTACATCCTCTAAATCACAGTAAGAAATGAATGCATATAAATTCCCATTCCTTTCACCAAATACTATTTTTCCGATGCCAGGATTTACTCAAGCAAATGATACTTAAATATTATTTCAACATTCTTTTCTTGAAGATATTTATGGTATTCTAAGAGTTGTTATGGTATATATATATATATATATATATATATATATATACACACACACACACACAATTTGGAATGATTTTTTTTTCATAGTAGTTAATTTTCTTTTTTTTTTATTTAAGAGGAAAAAGAGAAAAACACAAAACAAAACAGAACAGTGTAAGGTTACACATAATACAGAACTACAAAAAAAAACATAACAGTAAGAAATCACCTGTTAATAGATTATATATTATCATCTTGGAAATAGTTGTTCAAATCACAGTATCAAAGAATACAAAGTAGACCTTCAAACAGAGAGACTGCAAACAGCTGTGTTCAATGATCCAAAAACATTAATATAGTCAGCTATTTAACACCCCTAAACACACTTGCTCTTATATCTGTTAAAGCTCTTTTTTTTTTACTCCCTCTTTTTTTTACAACAAAATTTACGCATTTTGGATTTTATTACACCTTAGTTCTTATTACTTTTTTTGGGGGGGGAGAGAATAAAGTCAAATATGGCAAAACAAAGCTGTCAGTCAAAACGAAGGATAGACATAGCACATGATGTAGAACAGAGTACAAGGTTATTAACAATGGTTATCAACGTTGTCTCTTGTTTCCTTAAAAAGAATTGTCTATCTCATTAGATATTATAAAGTTGGACAAAACACTAGAGAACAAGACCAATAAAACTTAGGCATTGTAAACATTACAGGACTTCCAAAGGAGACAATAGTCAAACCAGAATGGGCATCTTAGTGAATCTTATTGCCTTCAAAGTAGTTGCCTATACCCTCAAACTTGATACTATCATACAGAATGGAACAGAGTCTAATCAGTCAAAACAAGATCGTGGGAGTATTACAGGACTTCAAAACAAGTTAATAGGAATTCAAAAAGAGTTACTACTATATATCCTAATGTTTTTAATTTTTCCCTTAATTAAAATAAACATAAGAAATAACTAAATAATTTTTTTTAAAGAATAGTAGTTACCATAGTGTCTATCTTTTTCCTTGAAATATTTGGAATAAACTTCATATACTATAGCTTCAAATATTTCCATATCAAGAAGCCCAGAATAAACCCTTTCTAATCAATAAGTGAAAATTTTATAAGGCTTCAAGGCCACATAATGGGGAATAATGATTACCACATATTTTTATATATTTGAATCATTACTTACATTAGGGAAACTATTCGGTATTCATACATGCGAGATTGATTTATTTCACTTATGAGTATGGTCTCAAGCTGCTCCTATTTATTGATAAATATCTCAAAGCGATCCTTCTTTATAGCTGAATAATACCCCATTGTATAAAAATACCACAACTTTTTTATCCATTCCTCAGTTGATGGACACTTGGGTTGTTTCCAAGATCTGGCGATTACAAATTGTGCTGCTATAAACATAGGTGCACATATATCACTGTGGTATGATGCTTTCAGTTCTTCTGGGAATATGCCTAGAAGTGGAATAGCTGGAATAAAGGGGATTTCCAATCCCAACTTTTTGAGAAATCTCCAGACAGACCTCCACAAAGGCTGTACCAGTCTACACTCCCACCAACAGTGCAGGAGAGTTCCTTTTTCCCCACAGCCTCTCCAGCATTTGTTGTTGTCAGTTTTCTTGATCCTGGCCATTCTTTCAGGAGTGAGATGGTATCTCAGTGTGGTTTTAATTTGCATTTCTCTAATGACCAATGATGATGAGCATTTTTTCATGTATTTATTTGCCATTTGCATTTCTTCATCTGAGAATTGTGTATTCATCTCAGATGCCCTTTTTTTGGATTGGATCTTTGAATTTTGGAGGTCTGAGTTTTTTTAATTCTTTATATATTTTAGACAAGAGTCCCTTGTCTGAGAGAGAGTTCACTAAAATCTTTTCCCAGTTTGTGGGTTTTCTTTTCACTATGCTGGAGATTTCTTTTGACATGCAGAAACTTTTTAATAAGAAGTGGTCCCAGTTATTGATTCTGGGAAGTATTTCCCTTGCGGTTTGAGTCCTGTTCATGAATTCTCTACCTACTCCTATGTCTCCAAGGTTCCTACCCAATTTATCTTCCAATAGATTTAGTGTTTCTGTTTTAATATTCAGATCTTTGACCCATTTAGATTTTAATTTAGTACATGGTGATAGACAGGGGTCTAGCTTTAGTTTTCGGCAAATGGAGAGCCAGTTTTTCCAGCACCATTTATTAAAGAGACTGTCATTCTTACAGTGAACCTGCTTGGCTCCTTTATCAAAGATAAGGTGGTTGAGTGTGTTTGTAGTTGTGGTTGTATTTCTAATCTATTCCATTGATCTTCATCTCTGTTTTGATTCCAATACCATGTTGATTTTACTACTGTTGCTTTGTAGTTTAATTTCAAGTCAGGGATTGTGATGCCTCCTGCTTTGTCTTTGCTGCTTAGAATTGCCTTTGCGATTCTAGGTCTCTTCTGGTTCCAGATGAAATTTAGGAGTGATTTCTCTAGATCTATAAGGTATGTTGATGGTATTTCAATTGGGATTGCATTGAATCTGTATAAGAGTTTTGGGAGAATGGCCATCTTCACAATGTTTGTTCTTCCTATCCATGAGCAAGGGATGTCTTTCCATTTTCTGAGATCATCTTCAATTTCTTTTTTCAGTGTATTTTAATTTTTACTGTATAAATCTTTCACTTCTTTTGTAAGAGTAATTCCTAAATATTTCATTTTTTTGCTTGCTAATGTGAATAGTCCAGTTTCTCTTATTTCCCTCTCTGTGATTTTGTTGTTTGTGTATAGGAATGCTATTGATTTCTGAGTATCGATTTTGTATCCAGCCACATTACTGAATTTATTTATTGTATCTAAGATTCTTTCAATGAAGTTTAGGGGGTCTTCTATGTAGAGTATCATGTCATCTGCAAACAATGACAACATAACTTCTTCTTTTCCTATCTTTACCCCTTTTATTTCTCTTTCTTGCCTAATTGCTCTGCCTAGTACTTCCAGTACTATATTAAATAGGAGTGGTGATAAAGGACATCCTTATCTTGTCCCTGAGTTTAAAGTAAAGGCTTTCAATTTTTGGCCATTTAGTATGATGCTGGCCATTGGTTTGTCATAAACAGCCTTTATTATATTGAGGTAAAGACCATCTATTCCAATTTTCTGTAAAGTTTTTATCATGAATAAATGTTGGACCTTATCGAAGGATTTTTCTGCATCTATAGAAATGATCATGTGATTCTTATTTTTGGCTTTATTGATATGGTGGATTACATTTATTGATTTGCATATGTTGAACCATCCTT